AAAAAAAACAGATGCAGCAGTCAGTTGCCAAGTCAAAAAGACTCTAATACTCACACTAATTTTTAGAGGAACCCACAGACACTCACCAATGACAGTGGGCTCCAGGTCAACAAAAACTGCTCTTGGGACGTGCTTCCCAGCTCCAGTCTCACTGAAGAAGGTGTTGAAGGAATCATCTCCTCCTCCAAGAGTCTTGTCACTGGGCATCTGTCCATCAGGCTGGATGCCGTGTTCCAGGCAGTAAAGCTCCCAGCAGGCATTGCCGATCTGGACACCAGCCTGACCGACGTGGATGGAGATGCACTCACGCTGTGGAAAGGAAAAACATCCATCTTAATGACTACTCCAGTTTTATTTGAAGCTCTGAAAGCAGTGAAGACGTGGTGCTGGAGGGCAGGAGGGGGAGTCATGAGATTAAGTAAAACAAGGCTAGTCTGTGAAAGAGCAGTTGTCTCTAAAATACACCAAGTCACCTGATATATGATGCACTCATTTACTGTTAGTACAAAGTGCTTATAGATGTTTGGAGCAAGAATATTCTCCAAAGACTCTTAGCAAACACAGCTGCAGTCAAACAAGTTTTAAACACAATGTCCAACATGAAAGCCTGTAAACGCTCTTTAAAGAACGGCCTCACTTCGTAAAGGTTGTGGTTTGTTTATGAAAACTCTGACTGTTGAAGAGAAACGAAAAAGAAATATCGCCACAGAAAAGGAGAGTTGAAAAATGGCTAAAGAGTCTGCCGTTGCTTGTTCTTTGGCGTTTACGTCGATAAACAGTGTATTATATTAACGGTCGTTCACACAACAGAACGAAGGAATATTCCAGAATGAATAAATGGGTTAAGAGAAAAAACTGAAATTCCAAGTGGTTTTGACCGCAGTGATTTTACACTTACTATTAATTAACTTCTGAATCTTTTAGCACATGGTAAACAAATTCAACTTTTTAACCATCGTCCATTTAACTTTTTGAATTAAGTCGTAAACGTCGACCGCTATGTCTAAACTTGTGTCTGTTTCAGAGTGGAACGTTACACAGGACAATGATTTAAAAAAAAAAAACGAAACTTCAAACTTCCTGCACAAGCTTAAAGTTAATACACAAATCACTTATATATGTAAAGTTGGGAGGTGCTTTTTGTCTTACCATGTTTCGTGAAGGTTGACGCCGGAAAAGAGAAGAGGACGTAAAATATCAAATAGTCTCAATGGACAAACCACCAGGGTCGTGCGTAAGAAGTATGTGAGGAGACAACACCTTGGTCTCGCTCTTTTATACTCTCTGACCGGGAGCGGAACAAGTGCTGTTGGATTTGATTGGTCACCAGCTGCCACGTGCTCTTTTACTCATCTTTCTATTGGCTACATTGGAAAAACTAGCGTCATGCTCTTCCTAGACAAGCTAAACTCCCGTCAGGAAAGAGTAGCCGCCCAACTCCATATTTTGGGAAAAGTTTATCGCCATCAACAGAATTGTAAATATTATATACCCAATACAAATGTGTATATCGTATTAAATTGCTTTAAATAGAGTAATGGAATGTTAGCACAGCAGTACAGTACATTTTACTTTGTTTAGGAAGTTTTGTTGGTTTTTTTATTCAGATGGAAAACGATTTCCTCTAACAGGAGTGAAAGTATTGGTTATTTAGCATTTAGTATCGATTTTATATTATTAATGGTGGACAACAGACTACTGTCTTTTTGAGCAATTTTTAAAAAGCCTCAAGCATCCTTGCCATAATCTAGATTGAATGTTTACACATTTTGATCACTATTTAATAACATCTATGGTGGTCGTCTAAGAATAGCTCCAGTTCGGAGATATGTATTTGGTAATTTTTCTAATAGATGTCATTTCAAATACCTCACGGAAAAAAAATCTATCATTATCATCCGGCCTCCCCTGTCCCACTGTGGGATCTGTGTTTAATGGAATTTATGGTCCTTCTTTTTCCTCCGGCATTTCGATAGTCAATGGTTTCTATTTTTGTCCCTACTAATCATGTGCACTTTTTGTATGTGGCTAACTTCTTCACGTTGACGTCTGTCATATTCTAGCCTGGAGATGTTTCTGGAGCAGAGTAGTTTTTCTTCATCATTGCCACCAGTAGAGGTCGTTATTTATCAATGAACCTAAAATCAGTTCGTCAACTGCTGTAACTGGAAACTGAGAAAATACACCCCCATTGGGTTACTTCGGAAAATGCATAGATCAATTTTTTATTTACTAAAATTCCTTTTAATTGGCTACCAATATTCCAATAATGTTTATTAGTCTTTGGAAGTGTAAATTAACAAACAACTCACATGCTTAAAAACTTTATTCAAACAGGAGACAGGTATTTCAAATGCCAGCCTGTGAAGAAATGCACATCATTTGGAATGCTTTTGACAAACTTTATCACAAAATTTTTAATTTAATTAACTTATGTCCCTTTGCCCCTTTAGTATTCTTCTCCTTCGTCTTCTCCCTCACCCTCAACAGAGTCGACTCCCACCTCCTCATAATCCTTCTCCAGAGCTGCCATGTCTTCCCTGGCCTCAGAGAACTCTCCCTCTTCCATACCTTCACCCACGTACCAGTGAACAAACGCACGCTTGGCGTACATCAGGTCAAACTTGTGGTCAAGCCGAGCCCAGGCCTCTGCAATAGCAGTGGTGTTGCTCAGCATGCACACAGCCCTCTGGACCTTGGCCAGGTCTCCACCAGGAACCACAGTGGGAGGCTGGTAGTTGATGCCCACCTTGAAACCAGTGGGGCACCAGTCCACAAACTGGATGGTGCGCTTGGTCTTGATGGTGGCGATGGCAGCGTTGACATCTTTGGGCACCACATCACCACGATACAGCAGACAGCAGGCCATGTACTTGCCGTGGCGAGGGTCACATTTCACCATCTGATTGGCTGGCTCAAAGCAGGCATTTGTGATTTCAGAGACTGACAGCTGCTCGTGGTAGGCCTTCTCTGCAGAGATGACAGGGGCGTAGGTGGCCAGAGGGAAGTGGATACGAGGGTATGGCACCAAGTTGGTCTGGAACTCTGTCAGATCAACATTGAGAGCACCATCGAAACGGAGGGAAGCTGTGATGGAGGACACGATCTGACCGATCAACCTGTTCAGGTTGGTGTAGGTTGGACGCTCGATGTCCAGGTTTCTGCGGCAGATGTCGTAAATGGCCTCATTGTCTACCCTGAAAGCACAGTCAGAGTGCTCCAGGGTGGTGTGAGTGGTCAGGATGGAGTTGTAGGGCTCAACCACAGCAGTGGACACCTGTGGAGCTGGGTAGATGGAGAACTCCAGCTTGGACTTCTTACCATAGTCCACAGACAGACGCTCCATCAGCAGGGAGGTGAAACCAGAGCCAGTGCCACCACCAAAGCTGTGGAAAACCAGGAATCCCTGCAGACCTGTGCACTGGTCAGCCTGTGGACAGAGAGGGACACAGATAGACAGTTTACATTTTGATCGTTGTTTTATATTTTGTGTCAACCTTACTCCTTCTAACTACCCACCAGTTTGCGGATCCTGTCCAGCACCAGATCAATGATCTCTTTGCCAATGGTGTAGTGTCCACGGGCGTAGTTGTTGGCAGCATCCTCCTTCCCTGTGATCAGCTGCTCTGGGTGGAACAGCTGGCGGTAGGTTCCAGTTCGCACTTCATCTGTAGTAAGAAAACAGATGCAGAAATCAGTTGCCAAGTCAAAAAGTATCCACAACACCCTCCCCCTCTACTTTAACACACAGATACTCACCAATGACAGTGGGCTCCAGGTCGACAAAAACTGCTCTTGGGACGTGCTTCCCAGCTCCTGTCTCACTGAAGAAGGTGTTGAAGGAATCATCTCCTCCTCCAAGAGTCTTGTCACTGGGCATCTGTCCGTCAGGCTGAATCCCATGTTCCAGGCAGTAAAGCTCCCAGCAGGCATTGCCGATCTGGACACCAGCCTGACCGACGTGGATAGAGATGCACTCACGCTGTGGAAAGAAAAATAAAACTTAACTTTTACATACATGCACATTGTTTTATCAATGTTGTTTTATACATTACCTAAAATGGTCAAGGTAAAGTAAGTATGCTATTCTCCATTTAACTTAAAAAAATGTTAAATACTCAAGAGACTTGTTTATTTTTGCTAGATTAAAAAAAAACAATAAAATTATTACAAACAGACAATTATAACTACTTTTATACCCCATCCACATAATGGCTAACAGGATAAAGGGTCGGTAGTATTTATTACCTTCATGAATTATTAATGCTCAGGGCAGAACGGCCCGGGCATCGCATTGCACGGACACTGCATTTAATCAATTCCTGCGCAGACTCAGTTGGTCTGGGTGTGGATGGACAAGAAGCCGATATTGCGCATCCTCAAAACTACCGGCATATTGAATTAAAGTTACCCTGTTAGGGCGTGCCAGGAAAAATACCGTGAAAGAGCTGCTTCTGCACTGAGAGAAAAGATGACTTCATAGTCAGCCGGAGGACGAACCCTTACATTAATAATTCCGTCCACGCTGCAGAACACTTAAACCCTCTTTTGTTCAGTTTGGCCACCGCCTACATCCATTACTCGCCAGCTCATTCACAGACATTAAAATAAGAAAACATTAAAACAGAAATCTTGAATAAGTTCTTAGCAGGGGTAAAATGACGTTTTCTGTGCTCTTTAGAACTTTATCGTTACCTCTCATAATTTCTTCACAGAGCTTACATTTATATTTTCTCAGAATTACGTTTTAAATACACAAATACATCTTCTTTTATCTGTCAATTTAAATAGGATCTTACCATTTTGCCAAGTTTTGGGTCGACGAAGAAGGTTCTAGAAGCACTGAGACGGGGGTACCTTACGAGTCGACTGTTATGAGGTCGGTGTAAGAGAAAATGGCGCACATGTGGATGGACAGTGGTATATATGTCATAGCAGCCCCGGTGCCGGCGACTAGTACGACACTATTGGTCAAATTACTTGTCATTTTTCCAGTCTGAACTGTCTGTGATTTTCTATTGGACGCTGTAGTCTCGGTACAAAGCCCGCCCCGAGACACCACCCGATGCTGTCATCCTCCGTTATTGTGTCCTGCATGGCTCTTGCTCATTGTTAGAAAAATGCAGCGTAATTTTCCACGTTTTGCCAGGACGGAGAAGTCTTTTATTCATTGGAATACTTCATTTGACATACACCAGCCTTTGGAGAATCCTGTAAATGTATTTTTACAGCAAAATTAAATGGTAAATAAATATATATAACTCCATTATAGGCCTAGCTAAAATGTGCAGTGTGCAGGTTGAAACAGGTCCTGCGTTTATCACTGAAGTCGTATTCGATGCAAATTTCCTTGATTAGGTGAAATTTAATTCTAGTTTCCAAACATAAAAATTTGTATAAAGTGATACTCATATAAACAATGTGTAATATATATATATAGAATCATTGTTTAATATGATTGTTTTTTAAAAATTACAACACTAAACAGATAGATATCCACCCTTAAAACTGTTTTTTTATTGTAAGTTATGGCCTTATGGTTTTAAGGAAATAATACAAATACAAAATAATTAAATAAACAAATAATGTGTTTTCTGCCCAGGAAATTACACTTCTGAATGTGACTCTGGTACATCTTTGTTCAAAATTATATTGCTTACAGTAGTGTGTAATGTTTATCTCCAGTGTTTTGATATTAATTTACTTTTTAAATACAAAAAGGTCAAACTGTCAAGTCATATTTTTAGGACATGTAGGCCATGGAGAACAGTGAATGCCCAACTCCCCCTCTTCACCTCCCCCTGGGCCCAGGGTTTAACGGTTGCTTGGAAATGAATAAGTGAGTTGCCTTGACACAGCCTAGTATTCACAGAGGCTGCCTTTATCCAGCAGTCATGTGACCCATCTTAAATAGCAGTATTATGGCGCTGCACTGCAGCTGCCACTGTGGGAGAATGTGAAGTGCCTCAATCAACAATCTCCCCAAAATCATCTCCTGTGATGTGTTTTAGGTCGTTCTTATCAAAATGATCACAATGATAATGTATGGTCCAGTGCAGTACCAGATGGAGGGGGGGGGAGGGGGGGGTGCTAAATTGTTCTTATTTGGTCTGGCACAATGGATCTTTGGACCAGCAGACAGTCAAACGCCCCGGTTGCTAACAACAAAGGAAACTCTGTGACAACAGCTCCTCCAGAGTGTTGAATCCTCTTCCTGTGTCATTTTATTCTACCATTCCACTTGACAGCCTTTTTGTCTTTATATTATAAAAAAATAAATGGACTGGACAAATGGAATATCATTCTCAATTATCTCTATCATAATTCTCTAAATAAAACCTTAAACCCTACTTGAAATACACAGGTAAATGGTGTGATATTTGAGGTAAAACAGGTGTACAGTCTGTAGTAACATGTATTTTTTATTATCTTGCTACCTGGCCTGGAGGGATTTTGTTAATCAATCTAGGATTTGCTTTGAAACATTAAAGTTGTATTAGCATATTTGAGGATATTCAAACTGTATTTACAAACAGAGAGAGAAAATGTCTTTATGTATATATATGTTATGTAATGGTGACTATTCTGCAAAAAAAAAAAGTGTGATGCAGTTCTGCATGAAGCTGTCCATAAACCGTGTTGATCATAATAAATGTAGGCTACTACATCCTTTGTTGTTAGCCCTTTTTTACAGTTCTTTTTTTTTCCGTGTTGTTGTTGTTGTTAGTTTAGTTCATTCTACCTGTATATACGACCTTTAGCAAAGGGACTTTGCTGTGACAGATGGGAAATGTGCTCAAAAATGGGTCTTGGGTGTCAAATGTTCTCTTTGCAGTATTCGATGTGGCCACATATGAGCCATGAAGGACCACTCCCATGTCCACAGCATTCCCCTCCTGCCTCTCTCCTCCTGGTGAGCAGCTGCTCAGACCCTCCCTGTCTCACAGCTGTTGGATAGGAGGAGGAGGAGGAAGAGGGTGAGGAGGAGGGGCAGCGGAGGCTGCACTATCAAAAAGTCCTGGCTGGTAGCCATGGCTGCTTCCTGTCCCTCTCTTTCATCCACTGCACTTCATGTTATGGTCAGCAATTGACAAGATACTGGTTGTAAATCACACATCTTCACTTCCCTCCTGAATAAATAATGACTATTCCCACATGGTGTTTTATTTCAGGCGACTAATGGGGCGTGTGAGGAATGTTCTGGATGGTACTGATTATATAAACAACACGATGAAAGCCTCTTTTTTTCAAAGTTACTTTCATGCGTTGCTAGATTTAGCAGCCTAAGTGGTAGCGTTGTTCTTTTGTTCCAGCTGCACTGAGGACCTTTACTTCTGCAGATATCAAGTGACATGGTCTGTCCATGATACAAACTGCAATTCAGGCAATTTCAGTTCCTTAAACAGGATAGAATGCAAGAAGACACTCCCTAGCTCTGCAGCTGAACAACAGACGCAAGAAGAGAGAGAGGGACAGAGAGAGAGAGAGGGAGAGAGAGAGGGAGAGGCAGACATTCAACCACGTGATCGGCCCATTCAGTGACATCACTGCAGTGAATCTAGGACAAAGACAGAGGAGAGCTGGCAAGCCGGCAGAACACCATGGCAGATCCCAGCAACAAGGACCACTGGCTGCTTGAGTCAGACTGAAGCATCCTGTGCAACACAAGCGTTCAGCCATCTTGTATTCTATACAAGGTGTTGGCTGCACCAGAATTTCAACACCAGTTTCAACGCTTTGTTTTCTGCATAACACATAAACATCTATGGCTGGTTTGTAGATTGCAGCATGAAAATAATAAATGAAATGTGATACATTTATTTAATTTAACACATTTGATCAGATTGGCATTGCAGAAAATCAGTGTTTTAATAAACTATCAATATGTTGATATATATTTAAATGTTGCTGTTATAATGAAGCGGAGATGGTTGTGTGTTTTGGAGGAGAACCAAAATCAATACATTTGAATCAGGTTTTTTTTTTTTTTTTTAACACAGGGCTGTGCATTGATTACCAGACTGATGTGTTTAATAATACATGTAGACAATCTTTACTCGTTTCCTTGCATGTATAATTGATCAGCTGTTACTCTGGCTATTTTAACAAAAACGACGCCGAAAAATATATATATTTATAAAAAAAATTACCATAACGCCCAAACAAAGGACACAAATTGTATTTTAAATAGACTACCATGATGCGCATCCCCCGTTACATAGACCACCACCCCTGTAGAGGGGAGTAAATAATTCATTTGGTTTCGTTTTTAAAGAATACCATCAACTGTTTGTTACAAACACGTTAGAAATGTTATTTTTGTCCACGTTTGACTGCAGATTTTTAGTGATGTTTTTTTTGCAGAATCATAAAACCACGGCCTCCTCTCCTCCTCCCCCCCCCCCCCCCGCCCCCGCACAGGAGCTAATCCACTAGCCGACATCTATAAATCTGACTGCACCACCTTCTCTTTCAGCAGTTGTTGCATCGTCCCCGTTGGGTACAACACGCAACCCGAACCTCGCGTTAATTAAAGCCGATTTCTTCACCCTTTTTCTCGGCTATTATCCACTTCAGACGTAACCATGGTGAGTTTTATGTACTATTATATTCCCGGACTGTTTTTTTTTCTTTCTGTAAAGTGTAAATCGATAATACAAAAAATGAAGATGCAGAAGCCGGCGTCTCGGTTTGTTTAAATGTGTCACACCGTTTCATCTAAGCTAGATTTGTATTAAACAAATACGTACATAGCACAACACGGTAATAATCATTTAAAATACGCTGGGTTTAAGGTGGTATTGTGTGTCTGCGGCAGTGGCACGACGTGATTGTCATTGTGTAGAGATGAGAACAATACACCCACCGGCGCCATTCATCCCCCATCCTAGACGGCTTTACTGCTCCTTACCTCCGCTAAAAAATAAACATATACTGGCTCTGCTGTGTTGCGAAATAGTGTTTAAATATACTACGTTTGAAAAAATAAAAGAACAAAAAAAATCGACATTTTGCAGATGCTTTGCCCAGTTTCCCAGTGGGGAGGGCCATACTGGGTGGAGATCTGTGGGATGGATGGATACAGAGAAATGCAGTCATCGTTTTCTACCTACAGTTTACGGATTTAATTTACTAATTCCGCAGCATATGAATTAGATAAAAAAAATAAAGTGTTTTTGTTGAACAATCAGTCATTTTAAAATGACCGATGGTGACTGGGATGACTCATGTCGATGAGCAGTTCTCTCCTCAGCATCTGCTGTGATTGTGTATCAGCGGTACTGCAGAGCAAGTGGAATATTCCAGAACGATGTCGTGTACACGACTGTGAGGAGGCGTTCGTGACTGTGTTTGTTAAAAGGCGACTCGGTTCTCATTATAAAAAAAGAAGAGGTGGGGGTTGGGAGAAAAAAACAGAAGGAACGAGGAAAGAATAGCCCAGTCATTGCCGAGGCTGCTGTCAGAACATTAACGTTCCCTGAGGATTGTGGTGCAGGGAGGCGCCTCCTGCTGCACTACCTGCCCAACTAAGATAGGGGGAGCACTAAGCTGGATGCGTCAGCTTAATTTAAAGTTTTGATGCATTTTAAATTAACCTGGAGTGATAAACCTATTTTTTTCCACAGCGTGAGTGCATCTCCATCCACGTCGGTCAGGCTGGTGTCCAGATCGGCAATGCCTGCTGGGAGCTTTACTGCCTGGAACATGGCATCCAGCCTGACGGACAGATGCCCAGTGACAAGACTCTTGGAGGAGGAGATGATTCCTTCAACACCTTCTTCAGTGAGACAGGAGCTGGGAAGCACGTCCCAAGAGCAGTTTTTGTTGACCTGGAGCCCACTGTCATTGGTGAGTGTTATTTAAAAAACAAATTAGGGAAAAAGCTTGGAAGATCAATTCAGCCAACTGATATACCATCTTTCTCTCTGCAGATGAGGTCCGCACTGGAACCTACCGCCAGCTGTTCCACCCAGAGCAGCTGATCACAGGGAAGGAGGATGCTGCCAACAACTACGCCCGTGGACACTACACCATTGGCAAAGAGATCATTGATCTAGTGCTGGACAGGATCCGCAAACTGGTGGGGATTTATGCTCCTTTTACTATTTTGTAAATTGTCACGCTGCATCATGCGTTATAACCACTGAATTACTATTTTTCCACAGGCTGACCAGTGCACAGGTCTGCAGGGATTCCTGGTTTTCCACAGCTTTGGTGGTGGCACTGGCTCTGGTTTCACCTCCCTGCTGATGGAGCGTCTGTCTGTGGACTATGGTAAGAAGTCCAAGCTGGAGTTCTCCATCTACCCAGCTCCACAGGTGTCCACTGCTGTGGTTGAGCCCTACAACTCCATCCTGACCACTCACACCACCCTGGAGCACTCTGACTGTGCTTTCAGGGTAGACAATGAGGCCATTTACGACATCTGCCGCAGAAACCTGGACATCGAGCGTCCAACCTACACCAACCTGAACAGGTTGATCAGTCAGATCGTGTCCTCCATCACAGCTTCCCTCCGTTTCGATGGTGCTCTCAATGTTGATCTGACAGAGTTCCAGACCAACTTGGTGCCATACCCTCGTATCCACTTCCCTCTGGCCACCTACGCCCCTGTCATCTCTGCAGAGAAGGCCTACCACGAGCAGCTGACAGTCTCTGAGATCACAAATGCCTGCTTTGAGCCAGCCAATCAGATGGTGAAATGTGACCCTCG